GATGCTGCTTGGCCTGCTGTGTTCATCCAGCTCTACACCTTGTTATCCCTTTCTGTTGCATGTGGTTTAGAGGAAATTTATCTCCTAGAGGACAATGAATGGTTATTTGATCCTGATCTGTCAGTGCTGCTGTATTAATGACCGGTTAGCTCAGTTGGCTGGATGGCTAGTTTGCAATGCGGGCTGACACCAGAAGTAGGGATTCATTTCCCAAGCCAGCTGAGGTTACCGTGAAGAACTCTCCTTCTCAACCTCTTCCCCTTGTCTGAGGCATGGTGACCCTCAGGTTAAATCACCACCAATCGTCTCTCTTATTACAGAACAGCCGTATGGTCTGGTGAGAGTACAGTGATTTTACCTATTAATGGCCAGTTGTGTGAGTAGCCCAGAGAACTGGGAGAATGATCTTCAAGTTGTCTGCTCAATGAGAATTCACTTTTACTGAGTTTCCAATTTAAAAGCTAGTATTCCAGCACAGATACCATGGGCTGAATGGCCTCCTTCTTAAGTTTCTATGTTTTTTTAATTGCAGATAACTTCAGAAGAAAAAAGGAGTTGGTATTTCACAATGGCCATCATGTATATTAGGTAAGACACTTTGTCACTTGGCAGCTAATCCTTACATAATAATGCATCCACTGTAGTATTGCCAAATATTCTTTGTTGCAGTCCAGAGATCATTGAGTCCTTTGTGCCAAGATAAAAATAATTCTGCTAGATAAACACAGTGTCATGGCAGATATTAACTCAAATAAATACACAAAGGAGAAAGGAATAAAGTGATATAGTGAGATGAAGTAGTTTAGGAGGAGGCTTATCAAAGTAGACAATCAACATGTTCTTATTGGGCAAAATAGCCCACTTCTGCATTGTAAATACCATGTAAGAAGTTACCTGTAACTGCCTGTATTTTACCAGACTAGCTGACATATCAGATAGATGGGGAGAAGCCAGTAGTAGGAAGGATGTGATTGCACTGGAGGGGGTGCAGAGGAGATGTGCAAGGCTGTTTCTTGGAATGGAACAGTTTAAGTATGAAGAGAGGCTGGATAAGCTTGAGTTGTTTTCTTTAGACCAGAGGAGGCTGAGAGGGGACTTAATCAAGGTGTATATGATTGAGGGGCATGCATGGGACAGATAGGAAGCAGCTGTTCCTCTTAGTTGAAGGGTTAATCACAAGGGGGTATAATTTTAAAGTGAAAAGCAGGAGATTTAGAGGGGATATGAGGAATTTATTTTTGCCCAAAGAATGGTGGGAATCTGGAATGCACTGCTTGAAATAGTAGTTGAGGTGGGAAAACTCACCACCTTTAAAAGGTAACAAGGTGTAGAGCTGGATGAACACAGCATGCCAAGCAGCATCAGAGGAGCAGGAAGGCTGACGTTTCGGGCCTAGACCCTAGACCTATTCCTAGCAGGAACAGCAACTCATATTCCGCTTGGGAACCCTGCAGCCCAATGGTATCAATGTGGACTTCACTAGCTTCAAAATCTCCCCTCCCCCTACCGCATCCCAAAACCATCCCAACTCGTCCCCGCCTCCCTAACCTGTCCTTCCACCCACCTATCCCCTCCTCCCACCTCAAGCCCCACCCCCATCTCCTACCTACCAACCTCATCCCGCCCCCTTGACCTGTCCGTCCTCCCTGGACTGACCTATCTCCTCCCTACCTCCCCACCTACACTCACCTTTACTGGCTCCATCCCTGCCTCTTTGACCTGTCTCCTCTCCACCTATCTTATCCTCTATCCATCTTCTATCCGCCTCCCCCTCTCTCCCTATTTATTTCAGAACCCCCTTCCCCTCCTCCATTTCTGATGAAGGGTCAAGGCCCGAAATGTCAGCCTTCCTGCTCCTTTGATGCTGCTTGGCCTGCTGTGTTCATCCAGTTCTACACCTTGTTATCTCAGATTCTCCAGCATCTGCAGTTCCTACTATATCTGAACCTTTAAAAGGTACTTGGATGAGCACTTGAAATGTCATGACATTCAAGGCTATGGACTAAGTGCTGGAAAGTGGGACTAGTGTAGATTTAGAGAATTCTTTGACTCTATGAGCTGAAGGGTCTCTTCTGCATTGTATGATTCTATGATTCAATCTCTGTGCCTCTGCTTGAACAATCTTCATCATTATTCATCTGTTCTGGAAGCTTTCAGCCACTCTGTTAGTTCCCTCTTGTTGTTTGAGCATCCACATTCTATTTCTAACCCATGCTATAGCATTTCTTTACAGTAAAGGAGGTTTGAAAGGCAAGTAATAGCTGTGAATTGTATGAGCACATGGCAGTAACTGCCATGGTGGATTGTTCAAAATGACCAGTTGAATTCTTCTTGCATGCTCTTCAGTTTTAAAACTACACAGACAATATTGATGCTCTAATTTAAAGAAAAAGATTACTACTAATCTTGTGTGCTATTTGATATTTGATTTCATGTTCTTGTTTCTAAAATTACTGTAAAGGTTCTGCACAAGTACATAGAACATAGAACAGTACAGCACAAGAACAGACCCTTTGGCCCACCATGTCTGTGCCAAACATGTTGCCATTCTGAACTAATTCCATCTGTCTGCACGTGGTCCATACCCCTCTATTTCTTGTCTATTGTGTCTGTCTAAATGCTTTGCTGCTTCTAGCACCTCCCCTGGCAGTGCATTCCAGGCATCTACCATATATGTGTTTGAAAAAGAAATTTTCCTTGTACTTCTCCTTTAAACTTTTACTCTGTCTCTTCCAACCTATGTTCCCATAGTATTTGACATCTCCGCCCTGAAATAAGACTCCGACTATCCATCCTGTCCACGTCTCTCAATGTTATATTCCTATCAAGTCGCCCGTCTGCCTCCAATGTTTTAGTGAAAACAATTCAAGTTTATCCAACCTCTCCTTATAGCTAACACACTCCATTCCAGGCAACATCCTAGTAAACCTCTTTTGCACCTTCTCCAAAGCCCCACATCCTTCTCATAGTGTGGCGACCAGCACTGCACACAATACTGGAAATGCAGTCTTAACGAAAATTTTATACAGTCGCAATATGACTTAATAATTTTTATACACAATGTCCTGATCAATAAAGGCAAGCATGCCATTCGCTTTCTTTACCACCTTATCGACTTGTGTTGCCACTTTCATGTTGTCTGCAGACTTACTAATCAGACCACCTACATTTTCATCCAAATTATATATAAAACAAACAACAGGTGTCCCAGCAATGATCCTTATGGAACATCATTGGTCACAGGCATCCAGTTAGAAAAACGTCTGTCCACAACTACTCTCTGTCTACTATGACCAAGCCAATTTTAATTGAAACTTGTCAACTCACCATGGATTCCATGCAACTTAACCTTCTGGACTAGCCTAACATGAGGGACCTTATGAAATGCTTTCGTAAAGTCCATGTAAACAACATCCACTGCCCTACCCTCATCAATCATTTTTGTCACTTCCTTGAAAAAAACTCAATCAAACTTGTGAGACAAGATGTCCCCCACACAAAGCCATGCTGACTAACCTTAATAAGTCTATTCTTCTCCATATGGGAGTACATTCTGTCCCAATGAATCTTCTTCGATAATTTGCCTATCACTAATGTAAGACTCACTGGCCTGTAATTTCCTGGATTATCTCTGTTGCCCTTCTTCAACAAAAGAACAACATTGCTATTCTCTAGTCTCTGGGACCTCGCCTGTGGCTAAAGAGGATAGAGATTTTTTTCAAGGCCCCAGCAATCTTCTCCCTTGCCCCCCTCAATATCCTGGATAGATCCCATATGGCTTTGGGGACGTATCTACCTTAGTGTTTTCTAGACACCCAACATCACCCTAGAATATCAACATACACTTCTCTAATCTTACCATCACCCATGCCTTTGCTTTGGTGAATACCAATCCAAAGTACTCATTCAGGACCTCACCCACTTCCTCTAGCTCCATACATAAATTCCATTCTTTTTCCTTGAGTGGACCTATCCTTTCCCTAGTTAGCCTCTTGCTCCTAATATACGTATAAAATGCCTTTGAATTCTTCTTAATCCTGCTTGCCAAGGGTATTTCATGGCCCCTTCTAGACCTCCTAATTTCTTGTTTAAGGTCTTTTCTGCCCCCTTTATACACCTTAAAGGCCTTGTTTGATTTCTGTTTCCTAAACCTTACAATATTCTTCCTTTTTCTTTTTCTTTTTACCAATGCAACAAAAGAATCCCTTTGTTCTTCAGGTTTTTTTTGTCCTTTAATCAACCTGTTCAGTTGTTATTACATACAGCTGAGGCAGGCAGGACTTGAACTCAGGCCTCCTGGCTCAGAGGTAGGGATACAGCCACTGCACCATGAATGCCTTCCGGCAATGTCCTAGGCCAAACCATCTTCATTTCTTTCTAATGACCTTTCCCCCATTATAAGGTGAGAATTGCGAAGGTTCGCTGATGATTGCACACGTTCATCACCATTCATGATGAGTCTCATACTGAAACAGTCTGTGCTCACATGCAGCAAGACCTGGCAACATTCAGGCTTAGCATGACAAATGTCAAGTAACATTCAAGCCACAAAAGTGCCAGTACTGATGGGAATGTACTTGAACACTGTAAAGATGACAGACAGTCCCCAACTTATGAGTGCCCGACTCACACACAGTCATATTTATGAACGAGATCCCATACAGTGGTGTATTAATATTCATTTTAAAGATCCAACATGCGAATGTTAGCTCTTATATATAAGTGGCTATTTTACATTATACTCTACTGTGGTACAACTTGCTTAAATTCAACTTATAAGTATACTTCTGAATGGTAGCTTTTTGTAACCTGGGACTGCCTGTAGTTATGTACTCAGGTGACTGGGACACATCTATGTGATCCTGCTACTAACAGTTACCATTTCCGAGATTAATACAAATAACGCAAGATGAAATGCCAGGGTGAGATTTGATGCATCATTCATACCTGCACCATCTGTGGAAACTGAAATTGCGTTAAGACGAAATGGTGGACAATCTCTCTCTCTGTTATCACATCGCCCTGCTAATGAAATTCTAACATTATGTACTACTTTTCTCATGGTAAGGAGATTTTCTCTCTGCCCAGGAAATGCTCCATTCCCTGTGTTGCCTGTTCCTGGTGGAGCCTTGGCTAATTTTCTTGCCAGATGATGGTTGTCTAATCTGAGACTGAAAGAGTTAACACTTTCTCTTCTTTCTTTTGCTCTTGTAGACTGGATGGAATATTAATGAACAAGGATCCCTACGCTTCTAAGCGACTACTGTTTATCAACAAATCATTAGTATTACTACGGGAGGTTCTGAAGTCCGACAGTGCTCAATATAGAGGTGGTATAAGAGATGGTGAACCCCCTCCCCTTTAAGGTTGAAAGTTGTAACAGCAGTGGGAATAAAAAGTTTGCTTAAACCTTTGACAATGGACCAATGTCTATAATGTATAAATTAAAAAAGTCAATAAACCTATGTTCTCAACAGAAATGAAGCAGACAGATAGTTGAAATTGCCCAATGATTTACTGGTTGGCACTCTTTTCCAAAAGAAATTCCCATCACTAATTTTTACCTCAATGTCAGGAGCCGTTCCTTCGGTTATTGGTAGTGTCCTCCTGCTGCCCAGCAATTTTCGATTTCCATTTGACTGTGAATTGTCACAGTTTTGGAAGGAACATGCAGTGAAGTCTGGGAGTTAAAATCACTCCAGCCTCACACTGCTGATTTTAGGCCTTTTTAACTCCCACCATCCTGACTCTGCTCATCCAATTTGTATCTGGGTTCAGAACGAGATGAATGTTATCAGAGAGTGATGTTCTGGGCAAGCCAAGAAGCTGAGGACATTAGGAAACATCTTACCGAGTTGCTTGTTTCAAATAAACAATCCAGGGATTGAACACGGGTGGACTGCTAATCCAGTGCAAGTAGATTTGTAATGTGACTATCATGTACTTGCACTTATGAATCTCATTTGGAATAAATAAACAGAAGTAGCCTATTGTTTCCCTGGAGCCTGTTCCACCATTCAATGAGAACATGGCTGACCTGTATTCTAACTCTAGGTACATGCCTTTGTCTTATTTCCATTAATACCTTTGATTTTAATGTTAATACTTTTTTTTTGTTAACAATAGATCTCATGATTATTGCCAGTTACAGAAAAGTATTCCAAACTTCTGCTATGTTTTCTGTGTAGAAGCGTTTCCTAATTTTGCTCCAGAGGTATCCGGCTTCAATGTTTAAATTATGCCCCTTGTCACAGTTCTGATGGATGGAAATAAATTCTCTACCTTTTTTTTGATCACTTGCGAACATTAATGATAACTAGAAGGTATTTGATACAGTGTCACACAAGATCTGTGAGGAAAGTTGTAGGTTATGGTTTAACGTTGAGACATTGGCTGAGTGATAAGAAACACTGAGTAATGGTCAGTGGATATTTAATGGGTTGGAGGAATGTTTGCAGTGGAGTTACCTTGGGGTCAGCATTGGGAACCTTGCTTTTCTGAATGTATATTAATGGTCTGGATCTTGAAGTGCAGGGGACGATAAGCAACTGCTCGACTTTGTGTTCATTTAATTCCCTTTCCCAGCTCTTACCTGGTGTTATTTGGGAATGACGCTGGAGCGGATGGACATCTTCCCTGATACACCAATGGCAGTTCATGACTGTGGATTCTCTGGGACTGATCCACTCGACTGTTATGGACAGGTGAGGACTTACTAGTTGATTTTAGCCAAAGATGGGAATGATAACAATTGATTGTTGTAGGAGATGTTAATCACTAACTCATTGATTGGGGTGGGGAGGAAATAAACAGAGAAAGGGGACAGAACTTATAAATTGCACATGCCTACAAAGAAAAATGTGTTTCTGTTGAATCTAGTTGGGAGCATACTCAATCAGGCAGGTGAATTAAATAATCACTGTCTCAGGTGTGGTGCCCATAAAATAATTATATGATGTGGCTGTGAGGAGAGATATCAGGAGGTTTGTTGTCTCCTATGGAGAAGAGTTGGTAATTTTTAATTTGCTTTTCAGTTTGTGAACTGAGAAGAGTGCATTGATTTAGCTGACAGTTTCTCTGTGCTAACCTGCTGTAGAAATGGTTCTTATTATATCGCTCATCAAAGGATCAAAGGATCTTCTTTAAAAAAGCAGCAATTATAAATAGTCTTTGATACAATTAAACTTAAAGCGTTGTATTTTATAATTTTCTCCCTTCAAATAACAACGCTGGTGACATTGAATTTAAAGGCACAGAGTGTTGTGCCTTATAACATAGAACTACAATACATTGGGAAATTTCTTATTTTGGAATAGTAAGACAATCTTTTAAATTCAATGTGTTTGTTAAAAAGGGATGTAATGAGTTGAAAAGGCATCTGCCGATCATAGTTTGGAATCAACGTGTAGGAAGTAAAATGTTAAGTGGCTTTCAAAAAGGACAGCATTTGAATACAGAGTAAACACATCTCGGAAGTGGGAAGGAAGAGATTCCAAACCTAGAAATCCTTGGATGACGAGACGGATTAAAACGAAACTGAGAAAGGAAGCTTATGATAAATGATGGGTGCAGACTACAATAGAGAATGATGCAATGCCAATAATGTTCCCCTTTCTATAGAAGGGATGAGGGACAAATCTGGCAACTAAAGTCAGTTCAGTATCTGAAGCGATAGAACTTGAAGATAATAACTGATATTTAGGCTAATATTTTGAAATCAGTAAGAATTTACAAAAGGCCAATTGTTTGTTTAATTAGCAGCAAATTGTTACAATCTGCAGTGTTCTACCTGGAAGGCTGGTGGAAGCCAACGTAATAATAATTTTCAAAATACTGATAGGAGAGAGCAAAGAACTGGAACTAAACAGTCACATTCCTTATATGCAGCACTGTTATAGTGACAGGAAAGTCTGACATATATGACCTGTTTGATTAGGTACTTTCATTCCAGCACAAGCCAGGAGAATGACACGGGTTTATAAATGTACAGGGATCTAGTGGAATTATTCTTCACTTGAGTTTCTACGCAAAACTAACAGAAGAAAATCTCCATATTCCCGAATTGGTTCTTGCCTCATTAATTATTTCGCAAAGCCATCCTGAATCATTTCTGGCATTCACTGGCTTAATTACTAAAAGATCTAAATCCTTCTCAATTTATTAATACCGTTCCTCATTACTTTGAAGGCAGGAGACTGGCCAAGGGAACATTAATAAGAACAATAATAACATTTAGAGATATTAAAGGTGTGAGTGAGAACTTCAGCCACAAGGTGGGGAGTCGGATGCTGTTACCGAGCTACAGGTAGATCATCTTGGAGATGGAGAGGACATAGAGTCAAAGTTGATCCTGGTGTCAGATATGACACCAAACTTGTGAACAGTCTGTTTCAGATAGACAAGATTGGTAGGGACAGGAAAGGATTTGGTGAGTAAAGAATGGAATTTGTGGTGTGAGATGATGGTGGGGCTTTGGGGAGATGCAAAGACAATGGATTTGGCCTTCCCAATATTTTAATTACAGGAAATGTCTGCTGGTTTTGTACTGAATACTGGGTAAGTATGACAAGTCATGAACAATTTTAAGAGTAGCTAAGCTTTTTACAATCATGTTTTCTTCCAAGGCTTTCTTCTTTCTTCCTTTTAATGTTACCAACTGAAATTCAAGAAAGAAGCAAATTTATTTCTCACTGTATTACCAAAATTGTGGGGAATACTGCAGCCTCAGATGTTTTTTGAATGAGAAGGCTGTGTGGTGCTATGAATAGCAATGATAGAATGTTGGCTTTACAACATAACAGCTAATTTTGCATAATGTAGAGCCATCCCTTTTTTTTAAATTTACAATTGCCTCACTTCAGTGTCAGCTGTGGGTCAGTGGGTAGCACTGTCATTGCTGAGACAGAAGTTTGTGTGTTCAAGTTCAAGGGCTCGAGCACAAAATTCCAGTCTGGCATTCCTGTGCAGTACTGATGCAGTGGGGGTGAGGTGCTGATTCAGGAGCTGAATGAGATAATATACAAAGGCTCCAACTATCTTCTCAGCGTTGGACAGAAATTATCTCATGGCGCTACTTTGAAGAAGAACGGTGGAGCCCTGACCAATGTTTAACCCTTAATGTGGATCACAGAAACAGATCATCTTGTTATTTGCATATTACTGTTTGTGAGAGTTTTATGCTTGCAAATTGGCTGCTGTGTTTCCTACATTACAACTGACTCGCCGCTGTTGGTTCCAAACACTTTTGAGATGCCCAGTACTCATGAAAGGTGCTGTATAAATGCATGTCATCTTTGTTTTTTCTTTTGCCTTTTCTGGAAACTTGATATTTGACTTTAGTTGGTTTTCCATTGTTTTTCTGAATAAAGACATTTGGAAAGTTACTATTTGAGAGCTTTTAAAATGTATGCATTTAATATGCTTTCTCCCTCTGCATTTTCCAGGCTATTGAAACGGCAAAAACTGATCCATTCATTCTGAATCGGCTTGCTAAAGTTTTTCATTTCCTTGGAAAACAAGACATGGCAACTGGTATTTGTAACATGGCCTTGAATATGCTTCCAGACCCAGGAACAAATTGGCAAGCTTATAGCACGAGGGCAAAGGTATATTATTCCTGACATTTGTTGCGGCTGTCCATTGTGTTTGCACGTGTGGGTACGTATGTATATCTGGACTGGGAGGGTGCCCTGGTGTGAACAAAAATAAAAGGAGCTGCAGTAGACCATACAGCTCCTCTAGCCTGCTCTGCCATTCAGTATGATCATGGCTGATCATTGACCTTAACTCAACTTTCCTGTCCTTTTTCCCCTTTGTTGCCAGATTTCCTGGAAGACCAAAGATTTCTCTATTGCAGCTTAAATATATTCAACAATTGAGCACTCACAACAATCCAGGATAGAAAATTCCAAAGCTACACAGCCCTCTGAGCGAAGAAATTTCTCTTCATATCAGGCCTAAGCCATTGTTTTTCCTGAGACTGTACTTCCATGTATTATATTCCTCAGCCAGGGGAAACACTCTGTTTTGTGTCTTGAGGGGTGGTGTTCTGTCTATGTGGCTGGGTATTTTTCTATCTGACAGGTGCACCTGAACAGCTGCCTAACCCTATCACAGAGCTGTGAAAGGGAAACTGGAACCATAAAAGTATTCTCCTCTTCTGACTGACACAAATGAAGGCAGACTCTGAAATGCATTACTGTGGGGGAATGATAAGATGTCAATTTATGCCTTGCATGCTGAGAACGTAAGAACATGAGAACATAGGAGCAGGAGCAGGCTGTCTAGCCCCTCAATCCGGCTCTGCCATTCAATAAGATCATGGCTGATCTCTTCGTGCACTCAGGTCCACTCACCCACCTGTTCACCATAACTCTTAATCCCTTTACTGTTCAAAAATCCATCTATCTTTGCCTTAAAAACATTCAATGAAGTAGCCTCAACTGCTTCACTGGGCAGGGAATTCCACAGATTCACAATCCTTTGGGTGAAGAAGTTCCTCCTCAACTCAGTCCTAAATCTACTTCCTCTTATTTTGAGGCTATGCCCTCTTGTTCTAGTTTCACCCGCCAGTGGAAACATCCTCCCTGCTTCTATCTTATTTATTTCCTTCATAATTTTATATGTTTCTATAGATCCCCCTTATTCTTCTAAATTCCAATGAAAATAATCCCAGTCTACTCAATCTTTCCTCATAAGCCAACCCTTGCAATTCCAGAATCAACCTAGAGAACCTCCTCTGCGCCCACTTGCAGTGCCAGTACATCCTTCCTCATGTAAGGAGACCGAAACTGTACATAGTTCTCCAGGTTGGGTCTCACCAGCACCCAATACAGATGCAGCGTAACCTCCCTGTTTTTAAACTCCATCCCACTAGCAACGAAGGACAATATTGCATTTGCCTTCTTAATTACCTGCTGCTCCTGCAAACCGACATTTGGTGACTCATGCACAAGGTCTCTCTGCACAGCAGTTTGCTGCAATTTTTCACCATTTAAATAATAGCCCATTTTGCTGTCATTCCTACCAAAACGGATGACCTCACAATTACCAAACTTTGTACTCCATCTGCCGGACCCTTGCCCATTCACTAAACCTATCTCAGTAAACCTTTGCAGACTTTGTGTCCTCTGCACACTTCGCTGTACCAGTCATCTTAATGCTATCTGCGAACTTTGACACACAACACTTGGTCCCCAATTCTAAATTCTGAGCTTCTAAACTCTAAAATTCTAACCTTGACCATGTTGTCAGCAAAGACTGGTGAAGTACACCACTAAGAACTAGGAAGGAGATTTTGTTTTCTCAATTCTACTATTTTCAACAAAACTGTAGACAAAGTTCTGGTGACTTTGGTGATGATGATCAAACAAAAGCAAAAAACAGCCCCTGTTTGAAGCTGACTAGGCTCATAGCATAGTTACAGTCAATAAAGAACATGGATTTTCAGTCTAGGCTGGATTTAACCACTATACTATTTGTTTTTATACAGTTCCTTCCTAGTGGAAAAATATCCACTGCAATTTTGCATAGCTGTAGCCAGTGAAAACTAGATTAAAAGTTATGTTTTAAGAAAGGCTCGAGGAGTAAAGAGCAAATTAGGCAGGCAGGAAGATTCTGGTGGGTGGAGGGATAGATGGCTGAAAACATTGATACTGAAATAAAATTAAAAAACTGTGGATACTGAAGATCTGGAACATAGGCAGAAACTCTGCTGTTCTGATAAAGAGTTACCAGACTCAAAATATTAACTCTGCTTTCTCCCCACAGTTGTTGCCAGAATTGCTGAGTTTTGCCAGCAATTTCTGTTTTTGCATTGATGCTAAAGGTGAGATACACAATTCTGGTCACTTTGCCATAGGAAGGATGTTACTAAACTGGAAAGAGTGTAGAAAAGATTTACAAGGATATTACCAAGACTCTAAGGTTTGAGTTATAAGGAGAGGCTGGATAGGTTAGGACTGTTTTCCCTGGAACGTAAGAGGCTGAGGTTTATAAATTAAGAGGGGCGTGGATAGAGTGAGTAGCCAAGGTCTTTTCCCCATAGTAAGGGAATCAAAACTAGAGGGCGTAGGTTTAAGGTGAGAGGGGAAAGATTTAAAAGGGACCTGAGGGGCAACTTTTTCACATGGGGTGGTGCATATGTGGAACAAGCTGCCGGAGGAAGTGGTAAAGGTGAGTACAATTACAATATTTAAAAGACATTTGGACAGGTACATGGATAGGAAAGGTTTAGAGGGATATGGGCCAAACGCAGGCAAATGGGATTAATTCAGTTCAGGAATCCTGGCCGGCATGGAGTTGGGCCAAAGGGTCTGTTTCTGTTCTGAGAAAGTGTCACCAGACCTGAAACATTAATTCTGTTTTGTCCTTCACAGATGCTGCCAGACCTGCTGAGCTTTTCCAGCAACTTTGTTTTTGGGCCTGTTTCTGTGTTGTATTCCTTTATGACTCTAAGCTGAAATTGGGAACAGAAGTTTAAGAAGTGTGGGGTGGGGTCTATGCTCATACGAATCGAAGAAAATGGAGATAGGGAGCAAAACCAGGACTGAAGATGTTAAAATTGGAGATGTTGGGAAACTTGAAGCCAGTGTTGATCAGCAAGGACAGGAGTGCAGGTGTAGAACATGATACCAGAGTGGTGTGAATGGTACAAAATTGCAGTTTAAAGTAAAGAGGACTTAAATCCAATGACAGATGTGAAAGGATAAATGTCTTACTCAGTTACATAACTGACATCTTTATATATGGTGTTTTCCCCCCCCCGCAGATTAATATAAAACTATACACACAAGGCCTTGAGCGGGTGAAGATGGGTCACAGTGGAGTGCCAGACAGGCAGCTGCTAAACAAAGCAAAAGCAGATTTGGATTTAATATTGTCTGTGTGCCCCTGTCTAAAGACATACCTGGATATGGGACAGGTGAGTACTGTGTGATTGAGCTTTGTCAAAGGTTGCTGTTCTGTCAGTCAGGTAGCATAATGTTTATGTTCTTGGACTCCTCTTTCACTGAACCTCAGTATGTCCTGTGGCATTAGCGGGACAGTCTGACCAGAGGGAAAAATCTAACTGACTCTGACCTCCCACTAACCTACCTGTCGAAGATGCATCTGTCCATGAAAATTTCGAAAGAAATAACCACCCATAATTCTGTGGCGATAGCATCCCGTTTGCCCATAGAGGACACTTTCCATAATGTTGGGTGGCACTAATACTGTGTTAAATGGAATGAATTCAGATTGGATCTGGCAGCTCAAAACTAGGCATCCATGAAGTGCTGTGAGCCATCATCATCAGCAATGGAATCTTATTCAAGTGCAATCTACAAACTCAGCATATCCCTTAAACCAGGAGAGCAAGCCTTGATCAATAAGGAGTGCACAGGAGTGTCTGTGACTAGATGTTAGCGTTAAAACAATTAACTGGTGATGGGGGCTCCACAAATCCACCAATCCTCAATCATAGGGAGTGCAATAAGTCAGTGGAAAAGAAGCTTGAAGCATTTGCAACCAGTCTGAAGTATCATGTGAAATATTCACCTTGGCCTCCTCCAGAGGTCTTCAGCATTATTGATGCCAATCATGGGCCAGAGTCAAAAAATGCAGAGCTGGAAAAGTACAGCAGGTCAGAAGAAGACTCTCCTGAAGAAGGGTTCCGACCCAAAACATTGACTCTCCTACTCCTCGGATGCTGTCTGACTTGCTGTACTTTTGCAGCTCCACATTTTTTTATTGTGGCTTTTAGCACCTGCAGTCCTTTCTGTCTCCAGTCATGAGCCAATTTGATTCACCTGCATGATACAACAGAAGGGCATTGAGTGCAACAAGAGCGAAGTGCCCTGAATACAATCCAGCTCTAGTGTGAATGATTTGTGCTCTAGAACAATCCCATACTCAAGATGTTCCAATAGATCTAATAGAGGTACCCAATCTACCAGGACAATTGTTTTGACGTCAATGGAATGCAAATATAGTGGGCTAGAAAAATGTGTTCAGCCTGATCTTACCCTGATCCCACAGGTTGAGGTAGATTCAGATCCAGTCTAAAACCTTGGAGTGCTTTTGACTCTGAGGTCTTGAGAACGAATTTGAAGTAATGATAGAAATGCCTTTGAAAGTAATCATCGGCCATCCAGCAGCAAAATAATGTTTGGTACACCACATGGTCAGTGAACTGTAGATTAATATAGCTTCTATAGCCCCCTTTTTAATTTGTAATGATTCAAGTTAACAGGCGAACTTCCGTTTAAACAGGCTTAATGTTGGTTTACTGTGAATTATTACAGAAGGTTCCGATGGGTTAAAGTTATTAATCAATAACTTTATCAATATTAGTCAAGTACCAGGATTAAAACAAGTACAGATAAAGCAAAAACCATTCTTGTAAGAAGAAAGTCCCAGTCAATCTAGAGGCCCATTATTTGAGTTTCTTGTTGAAGAGATTAAGACTTAAAGTTATATCCAGTAGCTATGGTAGTTTCTGTAATTGGATAGTTGGTATTTTCTTATCAAGTAGATTTACAGAGGACAGCTGATTCTATGAGAGAATCTCTCTCTTTTTCTCCCTCTGTCTAGATGGAAACTTTCTGTCTAGGGAGCTTATCTTTTTGAGTCATTCATAGCTGACAAGCTAGAATTGTCACAGTTATCAAGTGACCTATGCAAAACTAAGTCAACTTCCATATAATGCAGTAACATTCCACGGACAACTGTTCTCCTACTTGTGGTTCTTTTTTTTTGTAAAAGATATTTTTGAATCAACGTGTTCAAAGATGTTGTTACATACCTCTGGAGCAGTTGGGACTTGAACCTGGGCCTCTTTGCCCAGAGGTAGGAACTTTTTAAATTAAATCATCACTAATCACTCAAATAACCCACTAAACACTAACAATAACAAAACATACGGGAAAGTAGGAAGGGAGGGCGGGCACTAAATCAAAGTATAGTTGTAGGGGGAAATTGTGGTTCTATGTTTTAGTTGTGGTCAACACCCAATTTACATTGTTGCAATGATTCATCAATGAGTACTGTTAACTCCCAGAAAAGAGTTTTTACCTATTTGCATGTGTTTCTGTGTGATCCATGTAGAACTTGCAATTGTACAGTCAGGTGACTTGTAGTAGCAATATTTTTAGCTTCTTGCCCAGTTGCACTAGATTAATTTTTTTTTACAGTAGGTGGTATAGCCTTTAACAGCCTTTCTCCTTAAAAAAATGGCCCGTAACTACACAACCATAAAACGGTTGATGGGGAGGTGATGGCCGAGTGGTATTTTTGCTGGGCCGTTAATCCAGAGACCGAGGTAAAGTTCTGGCAACCTGGGTTCAAATCCTGCCATAATGGAATTTTAATTCAATAAAAATATGAAATTAGGAGTCTACCGATGACCGTGAAACTATTGCTGATTGTCGGGGGCAAAGCCCATCTGGTTCACCACTTTTAGGGAAGGAAATTGCCACCGTTACCCGGCGTGGCCTACAAGTGAGTCCAGAACCGCAGCAATGTGGTTAACGCTTAACTGCCCTCTAGAATGGGCAATAAATGCTGCCTAGCCAGTGATGCCCTCATCCCTTAAATGATTTAAAAAAAAGTTACCACAGATATCTGCGGTATATTAAACTGATGACTCATAAACTATTGAAGCTCTTTTGGATTATTTTCTAGATATGTAAGTTTGTTTATAGTCTTGAAATGCACACCCACCCTTCTACAATTTCATTGTTCCTTTTGGAGTAGTAACCTATTTCTGTATTGCTGACAGGTTTGTTACTACATGGGTGTTGATGCGGTGCAGGAACTCCAGTTGGTGGATGAAAATGCACTAAACAATGCTTTAGTTTTCTTTGCCAAAGCCATGGAGCTTGACTTGGGAGACACGCTGCCAGAGATCCAGTTGCTGAGAGGGAAGTGTTTACAGGTCAAAGGAGAGGAACACAATGCAGTCGAGTGCTTCAAACAAGCAATTGAACTTGATGATGTAGGATCCCAGTACTCTGAGACATTCCGCTGCCTCATTGAATTGCTATTGTCACTGTTCATCCAGGAGAAATCCAGTGAGGAAATGGTTATCCGTGAGGTGGAAATATGGGTAGAAAAAGCTGAGGCAAAGTATCAAATGGAGAGAGTCCGACAGGAACTGCACTCAATTTGTCGAAACCATATGCCCAAGATTTTAAAACTTGCCAGAGCTATGATCATAGCTGGGAAGCTGCGAATAGTAAAATTACTTCTGGAAACAATGAATCCTGATCACACCTGAGTTAGCAAGATTTTGTTTAAGGAGCGAGTTATTTGAACACTTCTGCTATTTGTCTTTAAAAACCCACTACTTAAGGGTCTCTATTGACAAACTTTGCCTTTTGTGTGGTGTTTAATCAGATGGGACAAATGTTGAATGATCAGAGGCTAAATTGCAATCCAATCTCATCTTTTCACCATCATTTTGTCTCTTTTTTTGGCTGAGATGCAAAAAGGTGTACTTGGTGTAAAATACCAAGTAGGTGACAACAAAACTTTGATTGGAATATGATTCTTCAAAAGAGATTTGTTCAACTGCTATTGATCACTCACAAGTATCTCCTAACCATATTATGCTTACAATGTTTTTAGATACACTGTTGTCCAAGAATGATCAATGTGACCTTGATAGCACCTTCCTGACGAATGTCGGATCTTTCTGGTTTTCTGGAATTCCATGGCAGAAATATTTAATGTATAAATCCTCAGTAAAATGCTATTTTACTATCAAGTACTGTGGTATATCAGGCATCGTATTGGTTAATCGAAGGATAAAGCACAGCGTACTTTACCCAACAATGTGACTCAATTCTAACACCAATGGAACACCTACCACTCTGTCAGACCATTTCCTACACAAGCCACCTTGGAATCTGTTGAGAGAAATAATTGATTCAGAATGAGTATGTGCTGAGTTTTGTGCTGCAGTCTGCATTAAGACTGCCCTAAACTCATTCTGCTCTGACCACTATAACTGGCAGAGAACAGTTTTATTGCAGTTCGTGGAGATGAAAGAGGGTTACCTTAATCAGACATCACCAAGGTCGTCATCTCACTGTTTAATAGCATGTGTTGCGTTAATATGCTATTAACATAATAACTGGGATCTCACACTGGTAATTCTGATTGGTCTGTTGTTCATTGATTTTTTTTTAAAAAATTCTAAACTTTTCATACCCGGCAGAATCACAGCTACCTCATGAGACTGAGCCTTTTCTGGTTTATTAGATTTACTTGCTTACTTGCAAAGTAGTAATCGTATGAAATTTAAAATTATAGCAATGTGACCGAATGAGTGAATTGGTACACTTATTGTGCTCAATTAATTTTATGATAAAGTGATTCAAACACCAGGACCAGATACTTTTGAAAATAAAGGCTTGAGGCCAACTCTTCTTCAAGCACAGGGAATTTATTGATCCAGTGAAAATGTACCCGGCTTCCCCAGATGTGATGGTCTGCTTCAGTGACAGCTTTGCTGACAAAGTGGGTCCTTGAGGCGGCCTCTGCCGTGTCTTCGGCGACATGGTGGTCCGGCCTGAGATTTGGCAACTTTGATGTCAGCTTTCTGCAGTGATAGAGAATGTGATTCCTCTTTTCTCCTCAACCTTGGGAACCCATGAGCTGTGAAGTGAACAAAGGAGAACTTTGTCTTCATTTTTTTTAATATACAATTTCTGTTATTCATATAGGTGCCGGAGTATGGTGACTTAAACACTTCTCATTGTTTTTTTTTTGTAAAAATAGAGGTGACAATAAATTACTATTCTGTTCAAAAGCCAAATACGATGGATGCCGGAAAATCTGAAGTAAGAGTGCTGTAGAAACTCAGCAGGTTAGCAGCAACTCAACAGGAAGAGTTAATGTTTTGGACCATATGCTACTAAATAGTGAGATGGGGACCTGGGTGATGACTGATTAACATAACTGTCATAAACATTAACCCTATGTCTCCTTCCATATATGCTGTCAGATCTGTCATTTTTGTTTTCATTTCCCCACCATGTGGCTAGTCTGAAGAGTACATTAGACATTGTGGGGAAACTGGGGAGATTTGGCTTTCCCTTCCCTCCTCGGGCTCTGATCTTCCTTTGAGATGTCCAGCTGGGTTCTGACTTCAAGGTCAAACATATCATTCTCCTCTTCAAAAAGAAAGTTTAAATTCAGCTTTCCAATTGCACTACAAATGCAATTGTTACAAACATCAACAGCATGAACTCTTCTAGCACATTCATGTAACGCGCAGAAAGCATCACTACAATATTTAAAGAAAACGAATTGTATGACTGGCCATGGTCCATTTGGCAAGGTTTATTCATAAATTTGAATGTGAGCAAGGTCCCATTTTATTGCTATGGTCCCAATTATTGCTGTCCACCCATTGCTTTGAGCAGATAGTGGTGGGTTTTCTCCTCTTTCCACTGCAGTCTTTTTTTTACACAATCTACAGTGAATTAAATTATTTTTTCCAAGTAAGAGAAGCAGACACGAGTTCATTTGGGGCGTGCTGAGCAGAGGGGTGCCCTGCCTGATCAGGTGAATTCCACTCAAACAGATGGAGAGGGAGCAATGAATTGGAGGCACCGATCTAAAAGGTTCACACAGAATCCTACAGATAGTGGCCAGAACCCCCTGAGGGATCTGTGCACAGGAGGAATAGTCCCAAATGCTTGTGGATATGCTGTTAGGCCCTTCCTGCTTAATTTTAATGCTTAACCTTGCATAATTCTCCTGCCACTTCCACCATGCTGAATTCAAAGAACAAAGAAAATTACAGCACAGGAACAGGCCCTTCGGCCCTCCAAGCCTGTGGCGATCCAGATCCTATCTAAACCTGTCACCTATTTTCCAAGGATCTGTATCCCTCTGCTCCCTGCCCATTCATGTATCTGTCTAGATACATCTTAAATGACGCTATCGTGCCCACCTCTACCACTTCATAGAAGTTTAATGCACTGCCAAAATAGGGGTTAATTTTCCTTTTAACTAATTGGCTACTTGCAATTATCTAGCTACTGTTGCCTGGGTTCTGGACTCCACTTTCTTTTAAAGATTCTGTCATAGAGAATCAGTGAGGTAAGGAACATGGCAAAGGTGGGTGGAAGGTCAGGTCTGCAAAAGATCAGCTTCTGTTGGAGCAAGTGAATAGGACTGCATCTATTTTGGGCTTAAAACATAAATCTTTTTCCTGTTGCCATCAAAGCAGCACAAAATCACTAACTGAGTATTCAGCTCATTCCTGTCAGTGCCATCTAACCCTTTATTTTAAATAATGAACTTCAGTCAGAATCTCCTCTGTCCTATAGGGAGAGCCCAATTTTTCAAGATTCCTTTGAATTTATTTCCTAATAGACTGGCCCTCAACAGCCTTGCCAAAGTGCACACAATACATGTAACTGTGTTTTAATAAAATAATAATTATGTTTTGAGTTTTGTATTCCATACTTCTTCCCACTGACACCAGTATCCTATTAACAAAGCATTGGGCAATTTTGCGAGGCATGATAAAGATTTCAAAAGATGTTATCTTCCTCTAATAAACACTATACTTACTGCCATCCTTTTAAATTTTATTCACAATCAATATTTCACATTCACCAACATGTTGTTCTTAATATCCATTCAAATATACACCCAAACTGCTTAAGAAAAACATCAAATCTATTTGGAATCTGCCTAAAGCTCATCAAAAGCCATTTGAACAATAACAGTATTAAAATGGAAAATGTAGGTTTAGGTTTCTGAGACTGAAAGCTTGAATATTATTTCCTGTCTTGTCTTCTGGGAACCTAGTGTGTAAAGCTATAATTTAAGAGTTTCTAAGTTCTAGCCTATTTTCTCAATCAGGGTTAGGTATCCATGCAAGAGCTGCGGATAGCAATATTTTTTTAGCAATATTATTTTTCAAGTTTGAAATAGATTCCTGCAATTCTCATTTACTTTTTATCTATGTATTTCAATAATGTTGCCATTGTGTCTTCCGTACTCAATAAAATGTCTTCAGTTACTCCTTGGCTTTTGACATGATGTCATATCATTCATCATAAATGTTATTCATGCCTTCCTGAAATAGGTTAGATATGTAACCAATGGTGCACCATTAGTGTTATAGACATTTTCTAATTTGCTGATGGTGGTTACAAACTGCTGGATGAGGTGGGACTTGAAAATGTGTCCCCTGGCCCAGAGATAAGGACACTACCACTGCACGACAAGACCCCCCACTTCCATCAGTGTTACATTTTGAATTTATGCAGATAAAATATAAACAGTGGTCTCTCCAAATTCAACATTTAAAGACAGCAAGCTTTCACACCATGAATCAGATACTATATCAGATCCACAGGATGTCCCTTACAGCTCCCCACTGGAATTGAGATCATAAAATAGGCCTAAGACTTATTTGTAGCAATTTTTAAAATAACCAGAACTTCTTGTGAGAAAATAGTGAGGTATTAGAATATAGTAGAATAACTTATTGTCACGTGCACTTGAATGAGTGCAATGAAAAGTTTGTAATGTCACCTCTTGGCACCATCTTAGGTACAAGGTACCTAGGTACAGATACCTTCAAGTGTTGTTACAGAATTGAAATAGTAAAAAAAGAGTAGACTAGCATTGGGATGTAGAGTTTAAAATTGCAGAACGAGAATAAAAAGTGTCTTCAAAGTACTGAAAGTGTAGTCCTTTTCCACAGAGTCTGTGCATGCCGGGCTTCTGAATGTGAGGCCTCGCTGCCTCCATGCGCTGGTATCCATCCAGGACATGTCCTCCCTGTCAGCCTGGGCTTGCTCTGCTCCTGCTCCAGCTCTGGCCGTGACTCAGCTCCCAGCTCGGCCTGTGTTTCCTCTGCTCCTGCTCTAGCTCTGGCCGTGACTCAGCTCCCAGCTCGGCCTGTGTTCGCTCTGCTCCTGCTCCAGCTCTGGCTGTGACTCGGCTCCCAGCTCAGCCTGTGTTAGCTCTGCTCCTGCTCCAGCTCTGGCTGTGACTCAGCTCCCAGCTCGGCCTGCATTCACTCCGCTCCCGCTCCAGCCGTGACTCACTTCTGGGTGCCTTATAATGGAAAGGCTCATGACGATGGGTAGAAAGATTAAGCCTCTACACCAGTTTTAAAGGCACAGCGAGATCCAATTGAGGAATAATATCCTGCAACCTAAGGAAACCTGAAATTCATCTGACATGAAATTAGGTCTGTCCATTTAAAATCACAGTTAAGCCCATTGCATACGCTGATTACCAAATCATGTTTCAGCACCCTGATTGAAAACTAGAGTGCTAACAACAGAGCATCTCTGTCTCCTGATCAGAAACAAGAACAGAAACTGCTGGAGAAATTTAACAGTCTGACAGCTTCTGTGAAGAAAGAAACAGAGTTAATATTTCAAATCCGGTATGACTTAATTTTCAGCAGTGAGTTCTCAAGAAGCGTTGTTTCAGACTCAAAACATTAGCACAGTTTCTCTTTCCACAGGCTTGCTGAGTTTCTCCAGCATTTTCTGTTTTTTGTTCAGATTTCCAGCATCCACAGCAGTTGCCTTTATCTGGTCAGATAAGATTGGGTTTTCTGACTAACACCAGCATCTGTAAATTTAATTCTTTTTGAAACTGATGGTAGAGGGCCAACAGGACCATTTTTCATTTTATATTTAGAATACATGGGCAAAGAAAGAACTTTTAGAACTTATTTTTCAACTCCCTATTTTTGCAAGTACATATGTATACTTAAGCAGAAATTCGTCTCAAGTAGAAGTACAATGGCCATCTGTTAGAATCAGACACGACAATATGTTTGTATGAACTTTGTTAGATATTGTGGCGTTGCATTGAAACAGAAATGCTTCTCTTCTCCAATTTATGCTGCATGGGTAAAGGAGAAGCATTTCATTCTCAACGTTTTACTCAGAGTAAATCTCTGCCAGCAGCCGAACTCTCATCATATTCTGTTCACCTATCTGTGCTCAATATCATAGTTTGGCTCCAAGTCTGGCAACACCCTCATTTAAATTTCTTACTTTTGTTTTCAGATCTGTCCGTGGCCTTACCCTTCCCTATCTCTGGAAGCCTCTGCAGCCCCTCAAGCATGTGAGACTGCTGGACTTCTTCAAATTTGAACCCGTGTGTACCTTTAAATTTATTTGTTCCATCTTTGGAGACTATGCCTTCACAACCTAGATACTAATATCTAAAGATCCCCTCTAATCCTCTTGCCTCTCTGAATCTCACTCCTCCTTCTCATAACACACTTCTTAGAAACTATGCCTTTCACCTAGCTTCTGGCCTAATCTCTCTTTTTATGGTTCAATGCCAAATTTGTGTGATAACTCTCCATTGAAGTGCTTTCGGCCATTTTACTATGTTATAGGTTCTCATGAGGAAATCTTATGGCACAGTTCATAGCATCCCTGCCTTTAAGCCTGAAGCTCCACGTCCAAATCCCAATCTGGGACTTAGTCACCAAGGATGGTTGTACAGAATGCAGCCAAAGTACCAACTTGTAAATCTGTCCAAGATTCGGCAATGGTAGGTAATATGAATGGGAAGGATTCGCTCTGGATTTCACAGGCCAGCCAACTGACTTTCCAGCCACGCTACCTGTGAAGATGCCGCCACCACTCCAGGGTCCATCGAAGCCAACTCCTGCCAAAAAGCTCTCTTTATCAGGTAAATTTGAGAAAAAAAAGGGGTAGAAGGAAGAAGAAAAAGAAAGAAAATGCAGACGAACAGAACAAGCCCGGGCACAGGAGCCTGTATGCTGCCTACTCTGCCATTGTCATCTTAGATGTTCTCCACCATTAATACTCACAAAAGGCTATGTTCTTACATCAACTCAGACTCTCCAGATGACTGTTGGCTGGACAGCTTGTGTGTACCAGATGGTGCCAACTGTGCAGAGTTTAGTCCCTGTTCTAGTTGAGATGAATTTGGGACCTACCTGCATGACTTACCCATGGTAGAGGATGTAGTGCTAAAGGTCAGACCTGCCTTTGGGCAGAGAACCAAAGAA